TACAAATACCAATGCTAATGATTTTAGTATTGATGTCTTTGTTTTTTGGGTACTTCAATATTTTCCATTTTTTTTTAAAAAAAATTTTTTTATTTTTATTTTTATTTTATTTTTATTTATTTTGTTTGTTTATTTTTCAATCTTACTACCTGACCTAGATTGAAATTTCATATTAAAATTCGATCTCAATCTCAATATGGAAATTTTTGAACGCAGATCGAAATCAATCTCAATCTCAATCTCAATCTAATAATTTTTGAAGGCGCCCATTCAATCTCAATCTCAATATAATTTTTGAAGGCACCCAATGTCAAACTGATGTTAACATTTAATCTAAATCTAATTTTTCCCATTCTACTTTGCATCCAAATCAATGATTACAATGAATACTTATTATACTACTTTTTTTATTTATTTACCAAGTTTAAGAGTAGTGAGGAGAGTTTTGGAGAAGAAGCAGCAAAAGTAATTTTAGGAGAATATTTATTGTAATAAGAAAATTTTATTTATTATTATATTTCATTGCAGAATAGGAACTGATCCACCTTTTCGGTGTTGAAATAGATTTCTGGGTAAAATTCCTTAACTGATGACAATGACAATACTTACATAATGATAAAAAATATCATGTAAATTAAAGATACTGGCAAACAAACAATTAACCCATCTTTATTTTTTTTTTTAGAAAAAAAAAATTTTAAATATCAAAGAAAAAAATAAATATCAAAAAAATAAATAAATAGTAATATTATTCAATTTTTTCGCCATATTTAGAACCAGTTGATCCTTTAGATTCTAGATGTTTATCAGTAAATGACAACGATGAAGGTGATGATGATGATGTTTTATTTAGATATTCTCTTAGAACAAGACTTGGCCAATTTATAAATTCCGTCCCATTATCCTTTATAAATCTGATAAGTCCAATAATAACAATAAGATTTAAAAAAATTAAAAATCTAACAAGGTACAAGTAATAACCTAAATTTAAAAAATTATAATAATAGTAATTATTATTATTATTTAATGATGAAACATTGAAATAAATTATATTTGTAATAATCTATTTATTTACCTTCGGATTTTGGAGTTGCTAATAAATACAACATGAATATTAAACAACCTAAAAGCACTTGTGGAGTCTAAAGAAGATTAATAAAAATAAAGTAATCAATAAAAAATTATTTCTATTTTTAAATTAAAAAAACCAAAAATTTTCATCCTATTTACATATTTTATTTGCAAAGATTTCGCTTCTCTAGTAAAAGGTGAATGATCGTTCAATTTCACCTCATAATTACCCAAAAACAAATCATATGCATCCTAAATTTAATTAAAATAAATAAGTAAACACACATACATACAAGTACAAGTATTTAATATTATATAAAATAAAATTATATTTGCTTTACTTGTTTCGTTCCGTCTTTAAAATTATTTAACACATATCTAAGTATTCCATTTTGTAAATCTAGTGCAGCACCTAATTTTGTTCTTTTTCCAGTTCTAATATAAATAATACATATTATACTTTATCTAATAACTTTATCACCTTGATGAAAAATTAATGATAAAATTGTTAACTTAATTACCTAGTATAATCAGTTTTTTGCGCACCAGTACCAGCATAAGGTAAGCTGACAGCATCAGCGTTATCAGCCCAAACTAATTTTAAAAAAAATTACATCAAGACCAAGAGCAATAATGAATGTTATTAATTTTTTACTATTAATGATTTAAATATAAATATTTTTACCATTTCTAAATAAACCCATAAACTCGTTAAACTCATCAATATGTTGATTACTACTCAATATTCCTATCTCACGTAATTGTTGAGTTAACACCCACTTTGAAAAAGTTGATTGAACAACATTTGTACGATCAAGGCAATCCATGCAATTAGTACGAATAACAGCTGTTTGAGTTTTATAGACTGAGATAGTTGAATTAGTTTCCTCTCCATGAAAAAATCTTAATTAATACATATATATTTAAATTATTAGAAAAAAATACATTTATATTTAATTTTGTAAAGTAATAAAGATTCAATAAATACTAACCCTTTTTGTAATAAATCTTCTTCCATGCTATCAAGTAAAAATTCAACCCTATCCCATCTCATATTTCGACATTCATGATGAAAATCAAAATGATGATATTTTATTTTAGGGTCATTTAAATTATTAACAACTTTTCGATATGTTTCACCAACTGGATATTCATATCCTTTCTTATTAAGAAGATTAATAATAAATTGATCTCCATACAATTTAATCTGTTCATCAAAATGTTTACGTGCAGATTCATTCTATAAAAATAACCAATTAAAATAAATAGATATTTTTAACTGTATAAATATTTATTATATTTATGTTATAATATACCATATGTGGTGAATCCGCGACTTGTAATTTTGGTGTATAGTGTAAATTATTGATTTGAGCCCAATAAATTGGAACAGAACCACGAGTTTGTACATAAGATAAATGTATTTTTCCTTCAAAGGCCGTATCATTATATCCGTCCTTGATGGGATCAAGTAAAACTATTTGCTCAGTCTCATTATAATTAGAAACATTGCCATCTTTATCGATACCACGTGAGAAAAATCGTGTTCCTAGCTTTCCAAAAATAAAAAATTAATTATATCAATATTAAAAAAACCACACTTGTTAATTTTTAAAAAAAAAAAATAAAAAAACTTAAAGAATTACATACCAGCACGAAATCTACTTCGACGAGTTATAAGAGAAAACACTACGTCTCTATTATTTATTTTTGACGAATGAATTGAAACAACTAAAAATGAAATAAACCGTTTTAATGATTAACCAAACTAAAAAAAAGCCAAACATTTATAAAGCTTACATCCAAAAATAATGGGCAAAATAAAATTACTCGACTAAAAATCAATTGAAATCAATTAACTAATATTTTTAATTAAATAGTTGATTGATTGGTTATATATAACATCTTTAAATAAACTTTACGTCTTGATCAGGATTTTTGATTGTAAAATCAATTAATTTTGACTGCACATAACGATTCCAAAAAAACCTATCATCTGCCTATTATTATATATAAATGAATATTTTAGAAATTATTCTCATTAATAATAGAAAATAGAAAACACAACACATATATGTATTACCCTTTGCCACGTTGGTCTTGTAGCTAAATCACCTAGCTGTGCTTGTCTTTGCATACTGTGAGTTAGATCGTATGTGTATGAAAAATAAAATTTTCCATATTTAAGATGATTTACAATCAACGATAAATATATTTTTTCATCTTGAACCTAATAATCACATTTAAATCTTTAAGTTGCTCTATTTAAATAATTTTTCCTCACAATGATAAAATAATAATAATAATAATTAATTTACTTGAGATTCTGATAGGTGAAGACTGTTTCTAGCAAAAGGTAAAATACGAAATTGATTTGCTTGGAAAACATTATGTTTTCCTAATCTACCAACAGGCTCACGACCAGTAATAACAATAAGATGTTCGCCTGTTTAATTGTATTCATGTTTATAAATACGTGTATGCGAGTTGATATAATTTTTGAACAATTTATACTTGCCAGAAATTAATTTAATAAAGCCAAATATTCCATAAATTGTAAAAGTTTCAATGGTTATGGTTGGTAACGATGGATCTAAAATTTAAAATAATTATAATTAAAAATTGTTTAATTTTCCTTTGCAGGTCAATGTTTATAAATAACCTGTACTAAGTGACAGTGCACCAGTTTCTCTATTGATAATCAAAGCTTGAGCAAGGGTTTTTGAATCAAAATAATTGGGCACAATAGTATATGAATTATCTGTTGCATGTCTAAATCATAAATTATTTTCGTGAATTTGTCTTTATTAAATTAAATTAACATCAATCAAAATAAGCTAAGCTTACAAATTTAAAGACTCGTGTATCATCATCATCTTGTTTACAAACAAATATAATTTTTTAACGAAGAATTTTTTTGAAGATAGCACAGAAAATCTTTTCTTATTACAGATGATCATTTTCGTTCAATTCCTGTGCTTCCTTCGCTAACAGACAGACGTGTATTTTTTTCTTTCAGAATTTTCAATGATAATATAAATTAATAAATCGCGTAATTTTTATAATAACTTCCCTTTACAATAATTCAAAAAATAAATACTTTTTTAATACTAATGCTAAGTAATAACAACCATCGTGAGTAATAATTTTTTTTGCGAGTGTTCTTTAAGTATTTATTCAAGTTTATGTAAAATTAACATTAAAGTTTTCAATATTTTTTTTTTTAGAGTTAATAATGGAAGACAAAATTGACGTAATAAATTTTTTTGCCAAATATTGTATTTACTCTAGAGTTATATCAATTAAAAAACCACGATTTTTTAATTTTCTTTATTATATACATACATACATACGTACGTACATTTATACTCTCTTATTTTTTAGACATTTGAAGAGGATGATGAATTTGCGTATCTTGATGACCTTTTATTGAATACTGAGAAATTGGAGTATAAATCATCTTCAAGGTTAGTTGTTTCCAGAAGCCATGAAAGAAATTTACTTAATTGATGCTAATTGTATATATTGAATGTTTGTAGTATTGGTTTAGATAATAGTTTACGCAGAAGTGAACGTTCCAGAAGACCTAATGTTAGAGAAGGTTATGTTTCCACTGTTGAAGCTGTACCAACGAGAGGCGAAATTCCAATCTTGGAAAGATTTAGGTCAAGCTCAAATTCAAGTTTCAATAAAATTTGTCAATATTCATTAACTTCACTGCTTCGTGAGAAAAAAAGACATGAAAAAATTGGGTATGATCTTTCTGTATTGGAACAAGTTATTAAGGGCGGAATCGTATGTATTTGATACATTTATTATGGACAAATTGAAATGATTATGATGTTCAGTTGTTTTACTTTATGATAAATAGGAACTTGAAAATGAAGACCCATTTGATACATATGATCGAACTTTAATTTCTACTACCTTATTAAAAGATGATGAACAAAAAGTTGAATATTTACAACAGGTATTTGAAGTTTTCCATTCCATTCCGTTTTGTTTGCATTACATTGATTTATCATTTTTCTCATTAGCTTTTTGAGGAAGAGAACGAAATGGATACTTATTACCAATTAGATTTCTTCCAGAAGTTGAATAAAGTAATTATAATTTATTATATATAAAGATAAATAGACATAAATCTTCGATTTTTTCCCCCCATTTTAGCCTGGTTGATAATTATGTAAAAAAATGGGTTTTACCTGATAGAAACTACCAAAACCTTCTCTTAAGACTACAAGATTAGATGCTATATTTACGTTTTTATCTAGAGCTGCATCAGGTAGGATCTCGAATTGATTTCTTGACTAAAAGTCTGAAATATTAGTATTCATATCTAATATTATTACATTGTTTTATTTATAATTGTAGATAATGAAAAGTTAAAAGAAGTTTTATGCAATGATTGGATCGCTCAACAATACCAATTAGGATGGGAAATGCCGAATGAAGTTGTTTTTTGGCTGCTTGAAACAGGTTAATTGCATACCTGAATATTTTAAATGAGTGATTTCGTTTTTTTGCTTTTATCATATTAATCAATTGATTAATTAATAACTTTTAGCAAGTTTCCACAATGATTTATTTATTGCAGAAGCAGCTTCAAATACTTTAAAAAATATTACAGAAATTTATGCAAGTATCGTTTATATATAAATAAATATGCATCATGTATATGTATATAGATTTGTGAAAATTTTTACTTATGTTTATCACATACTTTTTATTTATTTATTTATTTAGAAGCAATATAAACATAAATCAAAAAATAAGATTAAAAATATCGAATTGCCTTTTGATAAAGTGTACGACATATTTAAAAAATATGGAGCCTCTCCTGACCTCCTTGAGATTCAATGTTCACTGGAGGATAAATATAAAAAATATGAAACCGATAGTAATATTTTTTTTTCTCAATTATTGAGTCAATTGATGATCATACATGCAATAATAACATTATTAATATTAATATTATCATTATTTACTGCTGTTGTTTACTAGCATCACTTTCAGAATTTCCTTATTTGGCTTTGTTTCGGTTATCGCTAAAATCAATTATATCATTAGTTGATGTGGGGTAAGAGCACAAGTTATAAAATGATAAATGATGATATTATTACAACTAATAAAGACTAATTAATTACATTCATCTAACATTTAGATGGTTAATGTTTAAAGATGTGGAAGAGATTCGAACTGCAATTGTTATCATTCTTCGTTTATGCTTGGATGCTAGATTGATACAAACTTATAATATGATTGAACAATTGATCAGCTCCCTTTTAAACTTAATACCAGATGATGAGTGGATTCAGCAAGTAAGATATTGATAAATATATTGGTGGATATAATTATTTGGATGTCTAAAATACTAACACTAACACTAATACAAAAATTATTTACTTACTGATTAATTAATTAATTAATATTGACTAGTTGAAATTATTGTGTGAAGATATTACTTCATTGTGTGTCACGAATTCCTTATCTTTCCAAATTGCTACTATCGACAGTTTGCCCGCTTCATCTCGTGGACTTTTATTGAAACAGGTGCTATCATTGAAATGTTTATTTGTTATGGCGAAATCAACATCCTTTAAATTATCCAATGTAAGCAATTTTCTGAATTAGTATTTTAGATTATAACAATATAAATCATATTTACATGTACACTAATACATTTTTATTAACGGTTAACTAGTTAAATTTATCTAAACCATCACTTATAAAACCGATATGGGACTTATTTCATAAATCTGATGTTTTCAAAATTAGGGACGATACAAATTATAAAGATTTATACGATATGATAATTTTAATCAGTTATGTGATTGATGATATTGATCAGATAAAAGCTGAAGAGGTAAATTGATAATTCTTTTTAAATTTATAAAACGACTTGCGAGATGAATCATGGGATGAAAAAAGAGAGTAGATTAATAATATTTTTATAACATTTATATTTTTGTGTAAAGAATTTTGTCAAGGAAATTATCGAAAAACTGAAACGTTTACATGGGAGAATAAGTAAATTTTATTTATTTTCATTGATAAGTTAATTCATTCTCACCATTCTCATCTTTCTCATACACCTTTTGTACATTATTCAGACGATACAAAGGCTGCATTTTTGGATAGAACAAAAGTATTATTATTATTTGCTTTGATACGATAATATAATGTAATAACTATTCTAACTCATATATCTATACTTCTATGATTTATTTATATATTAGACAAAAGATCTTATGTTAAATCTTTATATGCGTCTTCACTATATAATCTATCATAAACGTGAAAGAACACAAATCGATGCGTTTTACATTCCACAGCAAAAGAAGAAACAAAAAACAATTCAATAAAATTATAAGGAAAAACCTTTACTAATTCTATATATATATGTAACTTTTTATAAATATCAATAAATATTTCTTCAACTATTATTATTATATTAATATTAATGATAACACACCAGATGTCAAAACAATTATGAAATATTTCTAAATATTTAAATATTTTTTTTCTTATAAATGTTATCGTTTTAATGGTTAACAAAGTAAATTAACAACAAAAAACAAAACATGGCAAGTATTGACAAGAGTTGGAATAAAGTTATAAGGAATATACACGATAGGTTAAGTCAAACCTCGATATGCCGAGCCACTATCAACCGATTTTCGCTTTATAACGATACAAAATTGGTTAACCAAAAACATAATGAAATTGCTAAATTTAATATAGTTTGGTAAACCGACTAAGATTTTATGTTGATGATTGATTATAAACCAATTTAAAATTCGCCTTATAATGATAAAATTCGGTTTATATTAATTACCTTAATATCTACACGCACGAATAGTAATAATACTGATACTAATTCAGTAATTATATTTTTGTGATTCCCAAAAGTTTGGCTTATCGAGGTTTGGCTGTACGTTGAGAAGTTGAAAAGAAATTAAGAGAGGGCATGATTTTTTTAATCCATGACTTCTTTCCATGTAACCATACATATACATACACCCACACACCATTCTCGATCTTTACAATTAAAAGATGACCATACTCAATGAAATTTTAAAAAAATTCAACGATGTTGTATTATGCCATTTCTATAATAGATAAAACTATTTCTTTGTCATCAAAAATTACCTAACAGTTACTTAAATAAAAAGACTTTTGTCTCATGACCTCGACTGGTAAGTTATCGTCATCATCATCGTCATCATTTAAATTACTGGAGTTTTTATCCGAAAACACCAAAAAGGTAGATCAGCTCCTAGGACAAATCATATTTGTTAAGGAAATTCATTGCGAGCGAGAAAATTTTTTCTACATAATGATAATAATAAATTGTTTGAATATTCATTGATTGGTCACACGCATCAAAGCATTGATTTCAAAACAAAATTCCTGATCAAATTTCACTTTCTCAAATCGCAACCTCGGAAATTTACCAGTAAGTTTTTTTGCCTACTTTCATTTCATCAGTTCACGTCATCAAAATTATTTTGATCATAAATCCACCTTCCAAGTGGAATATTGCGGATTTTTTAACGAGCTCGACATAGAATCATTCGACTTAAATATTAATATAGACTTTTACCTCAAATATAGGGTTTGTATTCACAAATACCGTAAGAGAGTCCCACACTATTAAAATCAAGTGCTGATTTAATAGCGTGTGACTCGCCCGCTTAACGGTATTCGTTGTATCGTGAATACAACCCTACTCAAATCTCTTGAACAAATCAGCAAGGTGACCGACAAAAAAGAGCACAAAAACTTTTAGATGAATACAAAAAAGCAAGCGATTTGTTTTATTTGGAATAAAATTAGCGTGAAGGCTTACTAGGTTGCCGTCATTCAAGGCTGTTTGCTGAGCCACAAAACAAGTGTTGGGGCACAGGGATCTAGGTTGGATGTGTTCAAGGCTACGAGTAATTGGGCATGGATAGTAAATTGTAAACATACCACTAAAATCCTTTGTAATAGTGTAATGACTGTAAACTTGCTAAAGATTGGGAAAACGTAAATCAGGCGGTAATGGATCCACATTTAACATTTACGATAATACATTTTCGGGAGGTGCTCAAATAGTAAACAGTAATTTTAATGTTGAAAAGAAGGATCATAAAGAGGTAATTTATTAAGCAATATTTAATTATAAACAAAAGATGGCTCTTTTAATCACGAATAGATTGTTTTTATGGCATCTCTTAGTACGGAGAACATTCCAGAAGGAGATCCTTGTTCATTATAATGAAAATTGACCGGGACTGAGAAAAAGAAGATAAGTGACACCAATATTGCATATAAATTAGCATTAAAAGGCATCTATACGAAGCCTGGTAAAGGAATATGATGATAATGTATATTTTTCAGAACACTGGTGTGGCATTAAATAAAAAACGTATGCGGCATTTTTAAGAAATGTTGTGTAGCATTTAACTCAAACGACCTTTTGTCCATCTTGGCTTGCCATACACATAACAACTCTTTCCATAATATTTTCTGGTTTGACCACAATTTATTTTTTAAAACTAATTAATTGATTAATACCAAACGCAAAGTTGCATGCCTTATTAATATATATTTATACTTCCTTCCACCCTTGATACTTTTATTTATATATCTTTTATTGCCAAATAATCATATTCAAATACAGTATATTAAGAACTATATTATTTCGAAAAATACATTTATTGTTAAATAAATAAATATAATAAACCAAATCAATTAAAGAGTAATTGTTTTTAAGTAACTTCTGATTTTTTATTCTTCTAGAAAAATCAATTTTACGTCAGCATAGAATGTAGTGGTAGGTGTTCTATCATCTTGTGTGCTTTTCCTATTTTTCGTTTCTAACCATAACCTTCCTTTGCGTATACATTCTGTATGACCATTCTCATCCTCTTCTCCATCTAATATAGATTTATTATCTAAACTTTCCTTGTTAATACTCCTGTAAACCTCTGATTAATGTTAAATTTACCAACCATTTATTGAATTAGGAATTAATTTTACCATGTGAGTGAAGTCAACCAGGACATATCACCTTACTTACTATATTACCCAGAGGGACGGATACCTTTGAGAAATATAGCAGTACATATTTTATTTTTGTTTTATTTTGAAAATAGAGGTTAGCTGCGACAAACTCTGAAGGCTAACGAGGAAAATCTAGCTAATGCACGTTCGCAAACACATATAATTTTATTTATTAGTCTTTTTAGACCTCCTTCAATTGTTAGCAAATTTAGCATCGGCAAGCTAATTAATAAACTAATTGATGTTATTGATGCTCGCAATATTTGGCAACTTTGAATTCACCAAGAGAAGATTCAAAAAGATCGAGGAATTTATATTTACATTGATGATTCTAATCTTGTGAAAAGTAATTTTAATTATAATAATAGTATCAAAACTTTACTTCAATCTTCAGGTCTATTTAATGCTTTATAAAGTGAAAATGTTTGTTATTTATAATAACTATAAACCATTGGGACTCTCCATTCCTTAGAAAGCCTTGCCGATCTATTGCCTGATCAGAGGAATTAGTACATAAAGTCAAAGACCATCCAAAACCACTAAACAGAGCTCTTATACTTGATCGGGAGGGGTAGTGTGATTTATAAATCACAGGAAAGATTTACAAGTTATACTGATGGAAATCAGAAATACATTTCAATCAATTTAATGAACCAATGAATTAATTATCTCATATTATAAATTCGTAAAATTCTATTTAAAAGAGATTAGAACAAGAGACCACATCATCAAGAGTTTCCTAAAATAAGGGAACTATATAGATGATTGAACCCCTAGAACATATAAATAATGTTGTAATTTTCTTGATTTCATATTTATCATGTATTTATCTTCTTGTAATTTTATACCTGATTAACATAATAAAAAAATAGTCCTTGTCTTTGTCTTGTCTTTCATTTATTGATCAGTATAATAATTTAATAATATAATAAAGAGACTCTTTCGCTGATGACGAAATAATCATGCATAATATTTTATTTTGATTATTTTATTTCTTTTCTTTTTCTTTGGGCGAGGAGAGATTAGCGAGGTTCTGTTTAGCAAGATCTTGTTTAGCTAGGTAAAATACATATTATCGAAAAATTATATATTATTATTACACTTTAGCATAAATTAGTGTTGTTATTATCATTCGTGTCTTGGACACGATCCTACAATAGGTGAGCAGTCAATAAATTGTCAGATTTAGAGAGATTTACACAATTTTGGTTATCTAAAGGGTGTGGGCCCTTTACTGTTGCACGAACGTTTTTTAAAAAAAAATCCATCTTTTTAGAAATAAATAGGTGAACAAATTTATTTAATGATAAATCCATTTCGTTCATTAATTACTTAATCTATTATCCTGTCTATTAATGATTAACATTGATTATTTTTCTTGTGTGGTGGTGATACAATAATAGTTCAGTAAAAATGGTTAATCCTATAAAGAAAGTAAAGATTGTCAAAAAACGTATTAAACCTTTTATAAGACATCAATCAGATAGATATAAATCTGTAAAGGTAATTAATTAATAAATTAACAATTCTTTTTTTTTTCCTAATATTATTATTATAATGTATATATATATATTTATTTTTCTTGATCCTAACACAAAAAAATCTATTTGTTGATAGGTAGCATGGAGAAAACCAAAAGGTATTGACAATCGTGTTAGGCGAAGATTTAAAGGGCAGATTCCAATGCCAAAAATTGGTTATGGATCGAATAAAAAAACTCGACATTTAATGCCAAATGGATTTAAGAAATTCTTAGTATACAACGTTAAAGAATTGGAATTATTGCTTATGCACAATAAAACATTTGCAGCTGAAATTGCATCAAAAGTCAGCTCTAGAAAAAGAATTTCAATTATCGAGAGAGCTCAACAATTGAATATTAGGGTTACCAATTCTAAAGCTCGTGTCAGATCTCAAGAGGTTGACTAATTAATTGATAAATTATAAGTTATATATTTAACAAAAATAATTACATGTATGTGATGGCATATTTATTAATATTGACATTAATATTTTAGTATTATATTAAGAAAAATTATTATTTGAAATTATTATTAATATTGATATTATATATATTGGCTAATGTTTATTTGATTTAAATACAAAATCAATGAACTTATTAAAAATCTAGATCATTAATTGATTGATTTTTTGCTGCCGGTTATTACATGAGGTGGACTGCAATAAAGCTAGAAACAAAACTTTAGGATCCTAAATTGAAAATCACCAATATAATGTGATTGTGATTTTTTATTTCAAACTTGAATATTAAAACCTTGCCGTGTTTGGCGCAATAGCGATCATTAAACTAGATTTGCAATTTATTAATTAAAAAAGGAAATCAGTTGGCCATAAATAATAGACTTTCGGGGAAACCAATCAATATTAATATTAATATCATTTTCCCAGCACCTTGTTTTTTGTTGTGTCACTACTATAATCTTTCTTTAAAAGTAATATTTATATTGAAAAATTCTGTATTTCAAAGATTTTATTTGTCTGACACATTAATAAATATTAGAATTCTAATGACCTTGGTTTTAAAACTTGCGGTTCTGAATTTTTTTTAATATAGGAAACACATTCTAGCATTTTGAAAGCAAGGTTATCCATATACCAATGGTTCGAAAATATTTGAAGTTATTTTATTTAAATATTTAAATTCAAAAAAAAATATTATTTTATTAAATACATATATATAAATCATAAATCTAAATTTTTTTACAAAAAAAAGTTCTTATTTAGGTTTTCCTAGCATAAATTCTAATTTCTTGACCAAAAGTTTTATGAATATCAACTTCTTTAATAAAACTTTTTATCATGTCATCAAATTCTTTATCATTTATTCCCATACAATTTAATAAATGTGGTTTGAGATTATTTAATAATTTCAATAATTCTTTCAATTTTAAATTACCAATTCTTTTTAATCTCTGTAATTTAATATTAATATAGCTACTACTGCCACTGCTACTACTACTACTAGTACTAATGACGCTGTTGCTGTTGTTGTTGCTATCAAAATTTATTGAGAAGGATGGTTGTCGTCTTCTTGCTTTAACTCTTGGCCAACTACCAATTGGAAAATATTTTTTTTGGACTGTTATATCTGTTAGATGGTCTGTTTTTTCTCTTAATATCTGTTCAAGTGTTTCGCTTATAATTGGCTCAATACCTATTGATCTTAAATATAATCGGACTAAAAAGAAAGAATTTTGTTAGAAAAAATTTATATTTTCCCCATATTAAGTAATATATATAATTACCAAATTTAAATAATGTTTTGGTAACAGGTCCACTATTAAAAGTTACTAAATCCCATTCACAAATTTCAATATAACCATCGTCACCATCACTAGGTTTTTTCAAAACCTTTAAAAGTTTATTTATTAAAATTGTCCAATTCGCTTTAGGTAAATCTAAATTCAAATATCTCAAATGTACGAAATGAAAAGCGTTTTTATCAAATGTCAATTTGTCCTCTAAAGACTTTAAATATAAAAATGTCACGTTCATTTGTTTTATACGGTCTCGTGGTGGATAAATTAGCGATTTGTCAATTCCTATGAAATTTGAATTTGGATACTTTGTCGCCATGTCCAGTATCCAAGTTCCTTTTCCGCAGCTGAATTATCGTTATTAGAAAGAGTGATGATGATGATGATGATGATGATGATGATGATGATGATGATGATGATGATGATGATGATGATGATGATGATG